AAAGTCTGTTAAAAGATGCTTTGCAAAGTCATTTAACAAAGTTTAGAATTTTATTGAATACTCAAATTACAAATCTTTTAACATTCTTTAAAAAGGTTACTGCTTATGTAGATCAGGGTAGGGTGTAAATATGGTGTATCTGGATTTTCAGAAAGCATTTGACAATGGGCACATAAAAGGCTTTAAAAAAAAAAGCTCTATAAGTGTGGAGGATAAGTTAGCAAATTGGATAGAAGAGTGGCTGGATGGAAGAAGGAAGAGGGTTGTTACAAATGGAGTTTAGTCAAACTGGATTAATGTCACAAGTGGGGTACCTCAGTGCTCAGTCTTAGGAACTCTGCTCTTTTTGATTTAACATCAATGACATAGATGAAGGAGTAGTCAATAAACTACTTAAATTTGCAGATGATATTAAGGTCTTGGGTGTTGCTAGCTGTGAAGAGAATGCTGCGGATTTACAAAAGGATTTAGATCATTTAGTGAGTTGAGCAAATAAATGGCAGATGGGTTTTAATTATAATAAATACAAGATAATACATGTGGGTTATCATAATTTGAATTATAAGTATAATTTGGATGGGAATAACCTTAATAGTGTTATGAAGAAAAGGGACATTGGTGTAATGATTGATCAGTCTCTTAAGCCATCCAAGCAGTGTGTTGTTGCTAGTGGTAGGGTAAATAGAATTTTAGGTTGTATCTACAGAAATACTGAATACAAGCCTAAAGAGGTTATGCCACATTTGGAATAATATATTCAGTCTTGGGCTTCTTACCTTATGAAAGACATTGAATTGTTGGAAAGTGTTCAGAGAAGAGTTACTAGAATGGTGTCTGGGATGGAGGGGTTGTCATACAAGGAGAGACTAAAATCTCTCAAATTGTTGCCTCTTGAAACAAGAAGAGTTAGGGGGAATCTGATTGAGGTGTTCAAGATTGTAAAGGGAATTGATAGTGTTGATGCATTATCTTTTTTCATATTTAACAGTGAGAATAGTAAGACTAGGGGATACAAATATAAATTTTAGCAAGTTAGGAGTCATTTTCAGCTGAGACAGTTTAATTTTTCTAACAGGGTGGTTGGCCTTTGGAATGGGTTGCCTTTAGATGTTGAAGAGGCAGTAAATTTAAGTGAGTTTAAGAAAAAACTTGATAAGTATATGAATGACAAGGGCTGGCTTTAAGAATTTTTCTCTGAAATTATTTTAATTTAGTTTAGAGGATGGAACAGCCGAGATGGACCAATAGGTCCCATGTTGTCCCAAAACCTTATGTTATGTTAATGTTACTTTTGCCTTATTAGGTTACTTTATGGCATATGGTGAAAAGTGATTAATCCAAAACACTATATTATTACAGGGGAAGTCTCTACTTTCCTGAAAGTAATGCTAAAAATTTGGTTACAATGTTACACAGATAACTTTTAAAAAGTTAACTAGTATACCATCATTGTAACAAATGAAACATTAATGTGGCTAACAGGGATAACTTAAAAACTGTTGTCACTTGTTAAAACAATACTATATTATGTGAATAGATTTCCTAGTTTTATTCTTACCAGTTTTTAATGGTTTTGAAACACTGTTAGATAATGTTGTAACTATCAAAAGTTTCATTTAACGAAATAAATTGATGCTATTCTCAATTTAATGTTATTTGACTTTACATTTAGGCTACTTGAAGAAAATAAAAGGTTTTTCACTTTGACTAATAATTAAAATTAGCTATGAGTATTCTTTCTTTCTCTTGGTTAATTTCAAAGTCTAAGTAACTGTTTAGCTATAGTTAGAACATTTTAGGCTTCTTTAATGTCTTTATCAGGTGGCTGATAAATGAAAGTAAATAAATTTTTCGCTGTTTTTAAACCTTAAACAAAGCAGATGCATAACTTGTCTGTATGATACATGTTTACATACAAAGTTTAAAATTAAAAAGTATCTCATTCTAAGTTACTGTTCCTGAAGTCTGAGTTTCCTAAGGAGTTTCATTCTTTTTGTCACTTTATTAATTTCTTGAGACAATTTTTGAAGTAAATTATATGTCAATTCTAACTATATTTCAATAATTTGAACTCAAAAAATGTTTATTTTCTGAAATTCATTTAGGGTAATTAGTGCTACCCAACAGTTCTAAAGAACTTTACCTGTAAACAACCAACTTGTCAAATTTCTTTAGGATTTTTCTGCCCCTCCCATAGATTAACTTTAGTTTTACTTAGAACCTATCACTCCCTTAAGAATATAATAATTTCCTAATTTTTAAGTGCTTTCCTTATTTGTTTTATAATGGCCTTAGTTGAGATCTTGCTGTGGTACCACATCGAGTGGTTTGATTTTTACTAATGAAACACAGCTTTGAAAACACTACAAAAAGAAAGTTTAAACATGATTAGATAGAACAAGAATAAGGCTATCATATAGTAAATATATAGGTTTAAGAGTTTTCTTTAATATGTTTTGTAAATATTTCTTTTGTTTGTGAACTATGAAAATATTTGTATGTTAAATTATATCTGAAAACTACAGAAATTTTCTTCTATCAGAAGACATAAGATGACTTGAGATAAAGTAAGCTTATACAGTTTAAAGGGCTGGATGTGCATAATCAAACATTATTATAAGTTTAAAACAATAACAAATGTATAATGTTTAAAAAAGATTTTGTCATCATATCATACAAGTAGTATAGCTAAACATAGAAATATATTTTGTGTGTTTAAGGCTTAGTAAAGGAAACTTGATGTTTGGTTCTTTGTTTTAAATTAGTGTTTTATTTTTTAACTCTTTCCATACGCGGTCTATGGTATGTATATCTTCATGGAATTTGCCAAGCTTTCAGTAAACATTACAAGCAAGTCTTTTGTACACAAAGTATCTGTTTTTTTTAATTAAGTATTTTTAAGGCCAGGAAATTTGTAATTTTTAGGGCAAGACTATTTGGCCTTGGATCTTTTCTCATTTTCAAGGGCAACAAGGCCAAAAAAAAATTCACTGGAGGGCACTAAGGCCACAGTACACATTAATGTTAAAAGAATAGAAATAACTTCCCAATTAGTTTAGTAAATATGGGAGCTTGAGTTGCTGGCCTATCATTTCAGATATGTTTATCAGGTAGGTAAGTATTACCTTTAACCAATGATACTTATGAAGTAACAATACATCAGCTTTAAGATTAAAAATAGGTATTATGCTGATCTACAATGCCCTGTGACCTTAATAAGATTCCTAGTTTTTGCCCCATCCTGACCCAAAAATGAGTAATAAAATTGAATCAGGTATGTGCGGGCCCCACACTTAGTATTGCTGGAACATGAAAAATATAGCTAATAAAAAGGAAGATTAATTCACTCTAATCTCGCCTAAAAGAATTTCAAGTGCCACGGCCATTTAGAATTTTCTTTTGTTTAGAAAAAGAAAG